TGGTGTGATTCTTGGTTTAATTCCGTTAATAGAGTCCGTGGTGTTGTCATTATGTGTTTGAATGTATCTGGACATGGTTTCGGGTTCCACGAGTGATCCCGGGATCGAAAAGTTGCCTGTGTACCAGTGGGGGGTGACCACCCGCCACCTACCCGCTGCCACGCCGGGCACCCGCTGGATTGTGGACCGCCGCCGACGGGTGGTCCTCTACCTGCCGCCCACCCGCTGGAAAATTGGTGTGGCCCGTGATGTTTTCCCTCGTTTGTTGTTTCCCCGTGTCCTGTTGTACCCCGTTTGTCGTGTATGAGTCCCGTTTGGTGTTTTGGGTATCGTTCTAGGATTTTATGTGTAATACGTGTCGTTGTTGTTGTGTCTTGATTGTTATTTGATTATGTGTTAATTGATTGAATGATGATGAGTATCGTGGTCATTGCGCAATGGCCGGTGTGACTAATGATGATGATGAGATTGTGATGGGTGGTAATGAATTGTTAGAGATTGGCACCACTTGTGCCCGGTCATTGTACTAAAGGTACAGGCCATAGCGGTGAATGTGCTGAAGGCACACACCCACCTTAGACTTGCTTGCCGTTGAGCATGGGTCAGGTTATAAGTGTTGCGGTGTCATGTTAGAGCTATATGGGCTAACCCCTTGATATTGGCACTAGAGGTGGGGATCTTGAATGGCACTGCGACACCATCTTGATATGTTGGTGGTTGATAGGCGGTTTGTCAGAGGGGGCATGTAGTTGCCCGGAGGGATAAGGGGTGGTGATATAAGGGTGGCCTGGAGGTATAGGTTGGAACTGATATAAGGACGGAGGGGAGCTACAAGGTTGGAACTTGGTATAAGGTTGGAAGATGGATTGTGTGCTTTGTTGGTTACTTGCTAACTGGCTGTCTTGAATGCCTTTGTTGTCTCTATTTTCTATTTGTATGCCTATCTTTCTGTTATGTCTCGCAACGTGTTTTTAGGACGCATGTTAGTCTTTATGATTATTCTATACTGTTGAGTCTGTTAATGTATCTTGAGTCTTGATCTTGGATTTAAACTAGAGGTTCGTAAGTATATATGTATTCCAGTTTCAAAATGAGTTTCTTATATCTACCTATATTGTACTTAACGCGTTGGAGTGGGTTACCAGCATTATTCGCTGACGGTTGTTACACCGAATGTTTTTCAGGGACAGTTGAGTAGCTTCGGAGCGCGCTAGTTGGATTCGTGGACTTAGTTTAGGTAGTTTTAGCTTTGATGAGATGGCTTGCGTGCCTTGATTTGTATTTGGGTATTAATTATGGTTTATGCTTTGTTAGTTAGTTTAGCCTGTGCATCTGAGTTCTCTAGCTCAGATGTGGCATAGCACCCCGACTACTATGTTTAGTTTATGCTCTGTTGGGGAATTAATAATAGATTTGCCTTTATTTTATAGGCTTTAAATATCTTAAAATTTTGGGGTGTTACACCTTAATACACTCGGATCATGCACATCATCCATGGTGGCCGAGCATGTGCTCCTTGTGCTCATGGCAACTGAGCTCAGGCTCCTCGTCCTTGTGGTGGCCAAGCTAAGGCTCTGCACACCTGCAGTGGCCGAGCTCCAGCTCCTTGTGCTCGTGGAGGCCGGATCTCCAGCATCTTGCTTAGTCCCGAAGGGGTCGGGGTGAGGGTCGTCCACCCTTGCACGACCCCATGTGGCGCCTCGTTGCTAAGTGGAGGGGGCTGCACTACTCCTTGGAGCTCCTCGATGAGGCGGTTTGGCTAGGTCATGGCTTGTTATATTGTTAATAATCAGGAGTATTGGTGCTCACGACTTCGTCTTGGAGTCTTGGGGCCGGACGTGGGCTAATAAGGATTGATCTCGTTTATCTTGGCGGGCACTATCCTCTCCTCGTCTATCCGAGGGTCATAGTGAGTTGAACCCCCCCCCCCCCCCTCCCCCCTCAACTTGAGTTCTTGGAGCTAGGGGAAACCGGGTGCTCGGCCTATCACGTCCCCTTAAGAGGGGTGGGGTAAGTGCAGGCGCCCCTCGAGAGGCATCAGGACCGAACAGGTGGGCTCGAACACCTCCTTGGAGCCCCTCCACGAGGCGTGTCAACAAAGTGGTATCTTGTTGTAGCGCGACCACCCCTTCCTAGAGCTCGTTCATTTGCTTCCGGAGCTGCCCGACCCCTTCACAGTGAGAGCTTGGTCACTAGCTTTCCCCGACTGCCCCACCCAGGAGGCTTGTGTCGTCACGGTGGGGCTCGGAGTCCACGGCGGCGACCTTGATGGAAATGGCTCCTCCCGGGCATACGAACCCGGGGGTTGTTCGTAGTCGGCCTTGGCCATAGCCCGTCCCGGGCGGGCATACGGGTGCCCAACCGCTCCAAGGCAGACTTGGTTTGGGTTGGTCGCCCCTTGCTTGCTCCTCGGTTCCTTTGTCGATCTTAGCTACCGCCACCCCCTCCCCACCTATCTGACGGTCGGGACGAGTGGACCTCTCCCAAAATTTGGGTTCCGGGTGCTCAGCCCACCGTGCTTCCTCAAGGTGGGCGGAGGTGGGGTCGGCGCCCCTTGGGAGGCCTCTGGGCCGAGCATAGGGACTTGAATATCTCCTCGGAGCCCCTTTACGAGGCAGGCTAGCGTGACGACGGCTTGTTGGATGGGACCACCCCTCCTGGAAACCCGGAGGCATAGGAGAAGGGGTGGTAGGAGCCGGCCCGCCGTTGCGATTGTTGGTGAGACGATCCCTAAGGTCCCCTGCCGACCTCATGGAGATAGTCCGCTGGTGGCTAATGGTTCTATTAAGAGCGCCCCCGGTCGGGGTGACACGGGTGTTGCGGGAACCGCTCGAGTTACAAGAGTTGGATCTCGCTCTTGCCATAGCTAGTGGAAAATTAGCACGCTCGAACTTGACGTCTAGCTCTCAATGAAAGCACCAATGATGGTCCGGGTGGACCGAATTAACAAACCCGATAAATAACTGATAATGTAAATAGGAAAAATACGAGTTGTAGGATTTCGGGACCAAATATCGTATCAATAATAGAGTTGTCAAGCTATTACAAGAGTTATGTATTGCTATTACAAGAGTAGTTTAGGACAAAGATATGAAATATGTCTTAATGAGACAAAACCAAGGCTTTTTATACACAAAGGGCCTTCTAACAACCCCCCTAAAGTGGTGGGAGAGGTTACAACCCCTCTTGACCGCGTCCGGTCCCGAGACCGGAGCCGCGATTTGATCAGCCGAGGCCTCTTGGCAGAGCCCTCATGGCCAAGGCTTTGTAGCCGAGGCCCCATGGCCGAGGCCTCATGGCCTTAGCCGATACCCCATGGCAGGGCCCTCATGGCTGAGGCCTCGTAGCCGAGCCCTCCTAGCCAAGGCGTCGTAGCTGAGCCCTCCTGGCCGAGGCCTCGTATCTGAGCCCTCATCTGAGGCCTCATAGCCGAGGCTCCATTGCCGAGGCCTTGCCCTAGGGCGGTCCGAATCAAGCACGGGGCTCAACCTCGGGGCCCCGGGTCCACTTGAATCCTCCTTGCCCCATCTTCCCGAATCGGTTTGCTCCATTTCTAATATATCCATCAGCGCTCGTTTTTTTTTTTTAATTTAAAAGATTTAAAAAAAAAATTATTTAAGACTTTGTAATTATAAACTATTTGATACTTTAATAGTTAGTACTAAAATATTAAATATTAACCTAAAAAACATTTAGAATTGTAAATTGTATAAAGATTATGAATCAAAACACAACACAAAGTCACAACTCATAAAGTAATATTAGAGTTAATACCCAAAATTGTCCTCGACTATAGTGGTTTTTCTCAATTTTGTCCTAAACGACTTTGGTGTCATAAAATAGTCTCAAACTTTTGTGTTATTGCTCAATATTGTCCTCCGTTAGGTAATCCATTATTGCTCAAAATTACTAAATTATCCTTATACTTAACACCCTTTTAACGGATTACCTAACGAATGACAATATTGAGCAATAACACAAAAATCTGTGACTACTTTATGACACCAAAGTCGTTTAAGACAAAATTAAGAAAAACCACTATATTCGAGGACAATTTTGGGTATTAACTCTAAAGTATTAATACTAGAGTACCTAATTTCAAATAATTTTGTATTACATTTTTTGAGTTTGCAACCGATTTAAACAATTTATAGTTATTTTACTAAAAGCGGCGTTGGTTTGAGAGAAATAACCCATTTAAAAGAAAAAACACGGAAAAATAACTAACCGGCAACCTAAACTCCCGCCAAGACCGCCTAGATGATCGCCTAGGCGCGATTTTTGCAACCTTGCGTACAAGTCGCAAGGTCGAATCGTAGATAGGTCCTTTAATAGTCTGTTTGTTGGTTTAAGTTTTAAGTTCGAGAAATGACGTGAGGTCCCAAACTCTGGTGAGGAGACATATGCCGAGCTCTCAGCATGCTTGACGCGTGTCGTGCATGCAATTGGCTAGCTCGGGAATATCACCACGATGTCCACGTGTTGCAATATTCCTGATCATTCACTAAGTGATGTGACCGGTACAAAAGTCATAAATCTAGGTCTCACTCTTTAAGTATTCTTACTCGGGCCAAAGAACTTGTGATCAAGCGGCATGAAGTGACTCTCCCAAATGAATGGTCATGAGTTCGAGCCTCAATGGAGACGATATTGACTCGTTGGGCTTCAGTAGATTAAGAAAGTATGTTTATTGTGAACATTCTGTGTATATAAATTGTGTATTCAAGGTGGACCCGAGTCCACAGAATAATTTGTCATTTGAAACATGGTCCACTGTATAACAATTGCCCTCCAAGGTCAAAAGTTGAGTGCGTGGATAGTCAATATCTATGGAAGATAATAGTTTGATTGGCTAATCAAAGTGAAATGGTTTTGTTTTGATAGTTAAAGGAGAAATGAAAGATTAATTTAAAGCTTGAAGCACCAATCTGCAGATTAAAATACTTACAATATATGTATGAAAAATTCCAGAAAAAAAAAAAAAAAAAAAAAAAGCTAAGTTTAGGAACAAGGGCAGTAGTTCTTTCCCCCAAAGAATTTGAAAAAAGAATGTTAGCACCTCCCCTCCTCCCCTGCTGCTGCATCTAATCAGTACAGTTAGGATCTGTTCTAAGCTATGCTATGATAGATCCGCAAATTTGATGAGTAAAAATGAAAGAAGAACCTAAATACCCTTGTCACCTTCTTCATGACTAGAAAAACCCCAATTCCATGTTCTCTCTCTATGGAAACTGAAGGCAGGTATTTAATTACAATTACAACTCTTACAATAATCCATCTGTCCGGGTCCTACAACATGGTTGGTTAGAGCTTGCTTATTAGCCTATTATGACTGACTATTGAATGGTGCTGGTGCTCCTGCTGCTACTGCTTTATATATTATCCATCCTGCTGCTTCATTCGCGAATCTAATCCTAGCTAGCTCAGTAGCATCTCATCATCGTCCTCCAAGGGAAGATTTAGATCTGGAAGCTCGACTCTATCCTCCCCGCCCTCGCCTGTCTCCTGGACCTCATTGGAAGCAGCTGTCACAATACTTTCCCCACTTTGTGGTTGTTGTTCAGGTACCAAATCAACCTGAAAAGATGAGCATCATCATAGAATTAAGACCAAGTATGACAACCAAAGCATCTTCTGCTTAAATGATTGATTGCGATATGAAGCTGAATCATGAGATTCAGTAATTGCAGAATTACAACCAAATAAATATAGGCTGTAACTTATGCACGACCAGTGGTACGGTGTTAACACCATGAGGAGGGGAGGACTACAACTTCTTATATATACCTTCACTCTCTTCAGATTTTCATTTGTAGCCTTCTGTGTCTCCAAATTCACACGTATCTTTGCTAATTCCTGCAAAGAAGATGAAGTGCATGGTGAACTGAGACTTCATAATTTTGCATCGCTTGTTATAATAAGAGCATTAAATAGAAACTTAAGAGTACCTTCTTCAATTTTCTTCTTTCCTTTAGTAGCATGACCTCCTCCTGTTTGAGCTCGGCCAATGTCTAATAATTAGGAAAAAGATAAGAGAACATTAGAATAAATGATATTATGATAGTGAAATAAGAGCTTCAAGATGAAATCAGGCATCAAGTAAAGTAGATACTAGATTGGAGAAAATGTCAGTTTAAGTAATATAAATAATTTAAGAAAACAAAATCTGAAATAGATGATTTCCCATAAGAGAAATAGAGCCCACAGCTTTGAAAGCTCTTGTCTAGAACAAGTCTATTAAAAGAAATTTTTAAAAAAGGGTTCACCTTTTTCTTTCTTGACTTTTTGGTTGTAGTTTTTTCATTTGTCTCATTAACCTGAAAGACAAACAGAAGGGATATTACCATAGAGCCTAAAGATGCAGAGAATAGCAGTATCCAAATTGTAATTATAATTGTTCCCACTTCTCAGAGGTATGACTAAACATGCATTAGCAATGAGCAATCGAGCGTGTCTTTTAGGGTAGGAAAAGTCCAAAAGAGAGATGATGATTTGTCAAAACACTTCATGTGAATTGCAGAAATCGGGTGACAAATATATAGCACAAGAAAGTAAATAAAATAACAGAAGGATTATTAGATTTCATAGTAGCAGTTATAAGATTACAACATATTTGCATAGAGAGTGTATACAAGTAAGCCAAAAAGAAGCATGTATGTTTGCCTGTTTAGAAAGGAAAGTGAATATTGCATCACATACAAGACCATATTTTGAATTTAAGACAAGAGAATAGGACAAAGCTGTATGTAATCAAAGTCAAAAGTCAATGCAAACTGTGGGAATGAAGCCATTCTCTGAAAAGTTTCACATTGAAATAGCAGAAATAACTTCAAGCTAAGCATTCAAGTGAAAAGATTCCAATTTAAATTGCTTCTTTAGGGATGTCCAAAAAGCCAAACACAACATTGTCACTACGCCCTAGCCCAACAAATGTATAAGAGACGAGACGAATCCCTCGAACTTAAAATACTCTGTTTGTTTTGCAGGTGCAATAAGGATTCTTAACTAGACAAAAAAAACACAAGGGCTCACAAACTCTCTTTTACAAGCACAAAACACATTATTCATGTGGACCCAAGATTTCAAATTTTCTTATACCCTATTGCCTAAAAAAAATTCTCAGATTGGGCAATGTAATGTGAGACAATGAAGGAACCCTGATGTTAGTTGGCACAGTTGATCTGTTAGTACATGTCAGCTCTAAAAAACAAAACCAGTGACCAAAAAAAAAAATGGTCCCCTCCCACCCCTTCTACAATAACAATGTTTTCACTCTACCTAGCACCCTACCACAAGACCATACATTAGTCAAAAATATTGCACTTCCCTCACATGCCATTTTCAAAACCCCATGAAATATCAGCACCCTACTTTGGACCAATCATCAACTCATGCTACTTTACACCCCATCCGCAACAAGCAAGACACAAAGATAAAAGCCCCAACAAAAAAAAAAAAAAAAAAAGTAAACTACAGATTTCCAAAAATCAAGCTGTCAGGCATATAAATTACAAATCCAATCACTGTCTTTAACCTTTTAACAGAAACCCAACAAAGGGGTTTAGTAATAGTAATATGTATGAGTAAAAATTATTGAAAATTTTGGTTGTAGCCCACATATGATGACATAGGTGTGGGGCTTAAGCTGTCACCTATAACAACTCTCAAGAAACTGCGGATGCTTGTCCTACTTTCACATGAAACAACATGCTAAACACTTACGTACAGTTGTGCGGTGCATTGGAATGTTCGCTCACTTTGTGCCCAAGTAGCATAAACACCACTATACGGCGTATAACGACAACGACATACGGTTAAGGATGCCACTAATTACTAAGCACGGATTCTGATAACCTAAGATAAACCCAACCCTCCGCAAATTGGAAGGGAGAAGAATAATTACCCTTTCCTTGCAATCCAGCAATGATTGCGCTGAACCACTCCCACACCAAACTCAACGCGGCGGCCACACTCGCCACGTTAAGTAGGTAATACGCCAACGTTTTGGTGGAAGCCACAAGGGAAAGCTGTTTTGACCCCGTTTCGAAGAAAGTTGACCACTCAAACTCCAATTCGGCAAATTCATTAATTTATTTACCCCATATTCTCTCGTCTCAGGGTCCCACACGTAATAAATGAATAAATAACGGTACTCACTAACTAATACTCACCCTATTAAGTGTAATTCTTAGACCGCAAAGGCTCGTCTCAAGGCCCCACACGTAATAAATGAATGAGTAACGGAAACTCGCTAACTAATACTCATTATATTAGGTGTAACTCTTGGACGGTAAAGGTTGACAAATGAGTTTAAAATAAAGTATTGGGTGGTAAAAAAAAAAAAAAAAAAAAACTACCCACCCGACAAAGACTGAAGACAGTTTCTTGGTCAGTTGATGGGAGAGACTTGCTTTTTGTTGGGGGAGGGAAATGACGAGATTGACCTGGAGAAGGGTAGTTTGGTAATTTTCGTGGGGGTGACACGGAGGCGCATAAATGATAATGGGGGGTCAGGGCAAAGTGGTGAAGAAGAAAACGTGATGACTCATTCAATCTTATGGGCTTCTGACCACATGCGTTGAAGGAAAGTCCCAACTTTTCCCCTTCATCGAAAAATACAAAAAATAAATAAAAATAAAAAATAGAAAAAAATTTGTTAAATACGGTTATGTAAGCAGCGGAAAATGTAGGAAATTAATGGAAAGTCTGAGGATATACACTGTAGGGCATTTCGGTCAATAAAAGTCAGAAAATGGAATATTTAAGAACATCCGACGAAGGCGCCGGAATCGGGAACTCCCTGCCACCGCAACAGATCGGCGAAAATGGTGGAGGGAATTGTTCGGAGGGGTTTTGTTTTGCTTGCGTGGAGGAGAGGGGTATAGTTGGCAGTTTGTGAACTGAAAAACCGTGGCAGCTCATACATCATCACCAGATATTAACTGCCAGTGGGCTATGATACATCGAAAATATCCGAGTTTCGCAGGGGTAGATTTGTCATCACGGAATGAATCGGGTGACACGCGACTTGGATGATAAGGAAAATGAAGAACCTATCGCCGGCGAACGGAAACCGCCCCGCCGCAACCTCATTCAACCACCTCCACCGTACACTCAACAACAACAACAACAACAACAAAATTAAAAAAATCACGCGCGCACACAACAACAACGAGAATCCAAAATCTCAGAGAGAGTCAAATACACGAACCTTAGATCTCGCGTTACGAGCCGGTTTCGAACCAGACGGCGGGCGGCTGGACTCCTCCTCGGGACCACCGTCGACGGCGCCGCCGACACCGCCGCTTCCGGAAGTGCCGCCACTCCAGGACAGCGGCGTGTTAGGACTAGCTCTCTCCGCCGGCTTTTTGGCGCTAACCGTTACCGGCTTCGAACGCCGCTGTCGCACCCTCCACGCCAGCGTCGAAGCCGCCTTGTTCTTCGCCGTCTGGCTCAGCCCCAACAGCATCTCCACCACCATGGAGTCATCCTCCATCGCTGCCTCCACCCAGTCCTCCCCAGTCATCGCGTCACTTTTGTAGAGAGAGAAAATCAGATAGAGATAGAGAGAAAGAGAGAGAGAAGATGGGGTATGGAAGTTTGGGAAGGAAAAAGGTAGAAAAGAGCAGATTGAGAGAATAGAATGGTATGGTATGGTATGGTGGCAAAGAAAATCTGAATGATAGTTATAAATGTTGTAATAATTATTATAATATATATATATAATAAACGTTTTCATCAATTTTTTTAGATAATTAATATTATTATTTATGGTACGTGTTAGGCTATTTTATCCGAACGAGATTGTAAATATATTTTATATTTAAATATGTACAATATATTTTTGTAGTCGCTGAGAAACCAACAATTATTATTTAAAAGTGTGTATTGGTGAAATTTTGATTTATGACTCGTTTGGTATTAAAAATAAATAAATAATGGTCCTGTTTAGTAACATAATTAACTTATCAGCCAACTTTAATTTATTTAATTAATATTAACTATTTAATTTGGTTAAACAATTAATATGAATTTTTGATTAATTAACTTTTTGTAACAACTTATTATTTCAAAATGTTAAAATTCAAAGAACTGCTCAAAGTAGCTTGTTCGATCAGCTTTTTGAGAAAGTCATTTTGCATATAACCAGCTAACAATTAATTTAATAAACACTTTCCTACAATCAGCTAATAATATCAACTAGTCAAATCCACTAATCTAATCACCTAACAGCTATCAACTAACAACTATTTACCAAACATCTCAATATTGTTATATGTGATGTCATAAAATATTTTAAAAAACACGAAATAAGGGTATATATGTGCTATATGTATGCGTGTGTGGTGAAGATGCCAAGTGCGAAACACACAGTAATAGGATGATATGAATGGGTGGATTTTATTTTATTTTTGGGGGAAGAAAATTTATTTTGGTTGAAATTGATGTTTAGTATGGGGCCTACATGGGAGACGTGGCAGTGCGCGGCTGCTTTTAATAGTAGCCACTTTTGGTGGGGCCGCCAGGCTTCGTGGATTGCGTTGTTGTACTTCTGTTGTCGCGTGATTGAGGGGTGGATGCACGCGCGGATGGGGAGCGTGGGTGGGGGGAGGAAGAATGTAGATGTTGTCTGTTTGAGTTTTAGTGTTCCATGCAAGGCTCTGTGGGGACCCTTACGCAACAAGAAAGTGAGCGTGGCATATGGAACTACTTCTTGTACAGTTAATTCAAATCTGTCATTAAGATGTGAAATTAATCAGTAATTTAATCTCCCCTAAAAAAAATCAGTAATTTAATCCCTCGTGTTATATGGTGCTCTTCATCATTCACATTTTTTTCCGGGATTAATAAATATAAATTTTACTAACTTTTATTACTTATATAATGGAAAGAAAGAAAAATAAAAAGGTTTTCAAAAAAAAATAAATAAATAAAAAGAATCTGAATTTATTTTACAATAGTGAAATACAAAATATTTTATGTATTGAGAAAAAAACAACAAATGAACAAATTACATTAATCTAAATAATGGAGTACTAAAGATATTGACAAAGAGAACTAGTTTGAGCTTCGAAAGGAGTGATTGAGTAGGTGAAATATGATTCTCATATTGGAAAGATCACGGGTTTGATTATTTACTACACTCTCAGTCAAACCCGATTTACAGAGTCTTTGGTTTGTAAATTATTGCATAAGAACGAAACTTACTCAATACACATCCTCAAGTGATGACTACGTATATAGTTTAATTTGTACAATTTTTCTAGTGCAAACCATCGGATAGTGGCTACATAACCGCATAGAGCGATTTACTTCTCATATTTTTTTTTTGTGGACTATTGTACATAAGCAAGAGCGAGATTCACATAATACATACCCACATGTCCAGTTTGATAATAAATTAAAGTTCTAATATCAAGATTTTTACTACTTACTTGAGACATATTTATGATTATAAAATTATATTTAGTAGTGCCCATTTTTATTATACTTTTTATTGTTTATTGGTTACATCTTAAATCAATAGGAATGATGTGTTACGTTACTATTAACCTACCCAAATAACACGTATAACGTATTTGAATTTGACTAATGTAATGTCGTCGGAACATAATTAGTTTTATCTGTAACATAGCTAGCTCTTGTATGTTATTGTCACAAAAACGGTTGTCAATTTGTCATTTCACAAAGTTGTACGAAAACGAAAGATTTGGGCAGAATGACACCTGACCTCGTATAGTAAATTGTAATCTTTTGTTGCACCTAAACTTAATTAGTACAAGATTGTGTGTATGAAAACGAAAGATTTGGGCAGAATGACACCTGACCTCGTATAGTAAATTGTAATCTTTTGTTGCACCTAAACTTAATTAGTACAAGATTGTGAGTTGATTCACAATTGAATTCCCAAAATGATTTACCTGATTAATGTATTTTCTTTTTTTAAGGTGGTTCATAATTCTCTTCTTTTCTCTTCGTAAGATCTTATTAAAAGATAGAATCAATCAAGCATTTTGTATAAATATATATAGTAAGCATATATCTGTGTATACACATATAAAGTAATTACATTATATTCTAGGGAAATAGAAACTTAATAGAACAAAAGCATTTTTTCCGTTAATTAAGTGTCAAATCAACCCTTAACTCAAACAAATAGTCTAACTTTTTTTAAAAAAATAAAAAATTATGGAAACAAAATTATAGCATTTTAAAAAAAAAAAAAGTTGTTATAAAAAAAAGTGTTTGAAACATATAAACGCTTCTTTCTTAAAAGTTTTTACGCAACATAGTTTATTAGAGTATAAGGAGTAAATGATGATAACATTAAATAACTCAACCATTTGAGTTAGTTGGTAAGCGAATTATTATACAATTGTCAAAGTTGAATGATTGACTCTTGTATATTTATGCTATGAATCAGGTTTCATTGGCAAAATCTATCTATCCATACTATATATACTAAAAAAATGTTTTTATACAAATATTGTATTATTATTTTTTTTATCGGACAAAATTGTTTCTACATCATTGTTAGACCTGCGTGACCTAACTACAAAATTGTTGAATAAAAATACAAATACACCTGGACTCTAAACGGTAGGATCATTGTCTAAAGAATAGACAATGTTGACATCCAACTGGATCCAATTGAACAAGTTTACACATCATTCTCAGAATCTTATCAACGCACGAAAACTTCTAAAGAAATTTGTAAGTTAATTTTTACTATATCATTATAACAATATTTATTGTAACCATATATTTCGAATTATTTATCCACATCATCTATTGACAGCAATTGTCATTGACAAACTCGCAAACAAATTGTCTCAACAACGAATGGAAATTAAAAAAATCAATGACTTCATTGTTGTGGATGAAAAGTAAGTACTCCACTCTATTACTCTTATTAAATTAAATAAATTAATAGCTACAACAAATATATATATATATATATATATGTATGTATTTTTTTAATTTAGAATTAGATATCTACAATGCCTTTATTTAAAAAAAAAATATTCATTATCAAAAAATTAAAAAGATATATAATTTCATTAGTTATATTATCTTTATTTTCTACAATGCAAAGATTCATTACCTTCAAATTCATTAATTAATTATATTCACTACATTGTCTATTGTTTTCTTTTTACACTATCTTGTAATTAAATATCGAAGTTATAATACAAAATATGTTATATATTTATTCACCAAGTATTTTATTAATACCATGGAAAAAACAGTTTGAAGTCAATCATATTAACTATTTGAAAATGATATGTTGACAAAGTGGGTATTCAAATAATCGAAGAAATTGAAGTGGAAAATTACTCTTAATATCTCTGGACTACATCACAGTTGTTTACTTTAAAGGTAAATCATATTTCTTTATTAAGATAATTTAAAATGTATAAATTTTTACTACCTTATCTAATCTTATTTCTTAAATAAACTAAGAATTTCTCTATCCACAAGAACTCATTCAACAATAATGATTAACCAAAAGTATCTCGAGCAGAACACCTAAAAGATTGGTATGTTTTTATGTTGATAATAATATGTAAATGGTAATTAGATCATTATCTTACCTAGCTATATTTAAAACTCATTATTGAAAATGTCAATGTAGGGCAATAGAACATCGAGACACACTTGACACATTGAAAAGATGTTGAGACTACAATAACGCTGCAATCAATTTTGCAAATCCAAAAAATGAAGAAATTTTAAAAATAGTCACCGTTGCAACATTAATTGATCATGTATGTAAAATACTTATTGTGCATCCTTTAAATATATTAGAACTAATATAAATTTACAATTCATTTCATTTTCTAGACTCAACCTGTTTGGATTAAAGGCAAAATCAGCATCAACCTTGACAACAAAAACACCCAGTATTCGGACTACATACAGAGTTATTGATGTTACTATCAAGTAAACAATTTATGGAACTAGCACAAAAGGTATTACTCATGAACCTTCTACAAATATAATAAATATTAATATTTTGTTCAATACTTTCACATGAGAATCTATGATACACATCTCACAACACATGAAACATGTAGGGAAAAAAAACTATCACTGTCAAATATCAACATGCGTTTAATTGTATGATCAAGAGTTCATAGTACAACTAAGATCCCAGTCATATACACAATAAGACAAATTCAATTCACAGCTTCATACACCATAATCTCATTGCATGACGCAACTCTCTATGCTACATACCACCAGTAACCCAATTGCACATGATACACTACCAATAAAACAAAAGATGACAAGTACTGAAGATGAAGACAATGACAATGCTGCCCAAAAAAGAATTAAGAAGACTTAGAGAAATTCAAACCAAAAGTAGTATTTATTTAGTCTATCGTATTTATACTAAGTATTTAGATTAGTTTTATTACAAAGTTACAAACATTTATTTTAGTGACAATTATAATCAATCTCTCATATATTAGCTTGCATTCATATATTTTATATTACCTATTTAAATAAACAAATTCAACATTCAATTATCAATGCATAAATATCTCTTATATAATCTTGTATTAATATATATATATATATATATATTTAAAATACTTATCTAAAAATAAACATTGAACACCATCACATTCGCGTGAAAAATAATAAAATAAAATAAAAGGGGAAGAAAGAG